ATTTAATAAATTTTATGAGCGAAACATTTATTTTCAAAGAATAGCACATTTCACATTTTGAAAAACATATCGGATTTAGTAGCAGGAGTGGCTCGAATCATAATATAAATAACTGTTCATGTGAAAAAGTTTTTTGAGAACGATATCTCGAACTTATGCAGAAATTTTTAGTTAGAATATCAAGAGAAATTCTCCTAGGTTAGAACACTCGAACTTAAATTGGATTCAGTCTATCTAGTGTGCTTTGCTGTTGGTTGTCGTTAAAATTTTTGAACAATTTTTTGAGGATTTTCATTCATTGAATATTCAAAATTGATTTTCGTATTTGGTATAAATTTTAAATTTGTCAAAAAAAACCATAATATATGGTTCCTTGAATTGTGGGAAGGAATTCTGCTTATTGTTTTCTTCAATAATGCGTATATAGACCCGGTAGGATTCCGTTTTGCTTTCCAGGTTTAACTGAAAAATTATTTTTCTAAAAAAAAGTTACAACTTCAAATGAATCAATGGTATTTTTTTTAAAGTATCTATAACTTATGAAAATCTAGAAAGATGGGAAATTGACAGGAGTATATTGTGACAAATTTTTGAAAGTTCGCAGAATTTAAATAAAAATTGAAGAGACCAAGAAGAACTATATCTTCGTGGATCTGCATTGGTTTATTGAAATTACTCGTAGATAATTAACTGGTAATGAGCAACCAGCTAATAATTCAACATATTTTCAGCAATTTTGTGTGTAATCTTACTTTCACGATATGTTTTTATAAGAAAATAAATATGCGATGGATGCGTCTATTTATGTTTTTTTTGTGATTTCGCGAAATGTCTTGGTCGATGGGCAACAGATCTAGTAGACCTTTCACAATGTTGCACACTGATTCGTAACTTGGTTGTAAGAACTGGAAGTCTACCTTATCTCAAAATCGAAAACTTGTTTTTATGTCCCTTCTCATTCTCATTTCTCCTCCAAGCCATCCGTAGGCATTTCATTCTTTCGACTCTTCTTTGGTGATTGATAACTGCCAATATTTTAGCTGAAAGTTAGAGACATAAAATTTCAAAAACAATTTCTGCTTCATTAAATCGGTAGGCAGTTAATCTTACAAGAAAAAGCCGGGATATTCAAAATCTGCTTCCTCTCGGACTTTTTTTTTGTCTTCTTGATGTAAAAAACGATTTTAAATTTACAGAATTTCATTTTTCAAAAAGCACTTTTTTGGGAAAAATTTTCCATTTAACATGTTTTATTGATACTAAAAAATGAGTTCAGAAGAAGAGGCAAGGTTAGCCGATGAAAAGCTAATCTATTGTTTTGAAATACGGAAAAAAAGAAAAGTAACCGATTTTTATCTATAACAGAATTCGATTTGTTCTATTCAGAAATTTCGAAGTTACGATTTACTGTATAGACCACAAAATTTTTTAATTTTCGCTTAAAAATTTAAGAAATTGTGAGTTGCGAGTTTTTTCTTAAGTTTCACCAATTTGAATGTCAAGCAGTTCCAAATGAAAATTCTTATCGTTTCAGACCTTTGCAAAGAACGACTGCAAAGTGCTTGGGAAGCGACAACCAAAAATGCAATGCTCCCATAGAATTTTTCCAAAATGATGCAATTGAATATGTTTCAAAATTTCAAAATGCTTGAGATTTATGAGTCTGCAGAACATAAGTGCAAAGGCGGAAAGTCAGTTTGCAGCGTTAAATAAGCCTCAACCAACAGTAGGCCACTTACCCATGGATTACTGAATTAAAGCATCAAATGACTGAAAATTCCCTTTGCTCGCCACGTAAAAGACTTGCAATGTCAAAATGCAAAATGAATTGCCAAACAACTGTTTATTGGCTATGATTTTATAATTAATTTACGAAAAAATCATCCAAAACAGGTTTTATAATTAATTTAGGAGAAAATTATCTGAAATAAAAATTATATCAAAGAGGTCTCAAATTTACATCAGCTCCATCTTTTTTCAAAAATAAAAGCAAAGCTACTCTGATAAATCATTTCATTTTTTTACATCAAAGAATATCGGGGAGCAAAAAAGTAGAAATATTTCGCAGAAGGGGAAAATTGAACAGATGAGAGTAATATTTGAGGAATAATTCTTTTTTCATAAAATTAAATACTTAATATGATGGAATTTAGCAAATTAAGGTAGAGACCGACCCATAAAATATATTTTACATCGTTTCTGGACAATCGTTAAGAAAATTTTGTGATAGCTTTCTGAACACTTGCAAGAATTATGGCGTTCTGCACAATTGAGCAATATCGGTTGACAACTTTATTCGAAATGCCTTGCTCAAATAAAACAAACTAAATCATTTAGAACTTTAAAGTTTTCCATCAGTCTTAAATCCAAGAAAGTTCTCGTTGTTTCCAAAACGATAAAAGGCGGCCATATTTAGTCAGCAATTTGCAGGAGATTTTAATATCCAGGTGCCGTGCGTGGTGGTGCACAGTGGTCGCATGAACCGGCACTGCCACCAACTCCCATTTCACCGGGTTCTCCAGGTGCTCCGGGATTTCCTGGAGCGCCAACAGGTCCTGCATCTCCAGGCAACCCAGGAGGTCCAGAGATTGCACTTCCTGGTGAACCAGGCAGTCCTGGTGATCCTGCTGGTCCCACCGGTCCTACTGGTCCTGGCGGGCCAACACCTTCAGATGTCTCTGTAAATTGGCCGGGTAAGCCGGGTGGTCCAGGTGGCCCCATTTCACCCAATGCTCCAGGTGGTCCTTGTGGTCCGGGTGGACCCGGTGGTCCAGGTAGCGGAGCTTCTCCATCTTTGCCTGGTGCGCCAGCCTGTCCAGGTAATCCTTTGGGTCCAACTGCACCCGGAGGTCCTGGTGGTCCTACGGGACAATCGAAGCAGACGTCTTCGGGTTTCGGTACAGCATCTGGCGGAGCGTCCTTTCCTGGGATGCCGTCCTTACCTGGTGCTCCATCAGCGCCTAAAAATAACCTCGAAATAACACAACTGCCTTTCAATTATAGTTTCAAAGTCACAGAGATCTGAAGGAACTGCTAAGTTGTATCTTTCAACCATGTGTAGCTAAAATGGATGGTTTTTGACACATAAGACAGGATGGAGCTTGAGATTTATATGAAATACTCTTTTTCTTGCCAATTTTAGAAACCACTGATGACGTACCTTTTTCACCATCTTTTCCTGGAGGCCCGGGAGGTCCTATATTTCCAACTCCGCAACTGCAGCACTGGTCTTCCCCTTGCGAAGTATGTGATGGGGTTTTAACATCAGCATCGGACGGTAAATATCCGGCAGCACCACTTGAATAAGTGCCTGTACCACGTGCTCGAGCTGATATTTGTCCTGTTCTTCCTGCATTACGATGGCGTACTTCCCGTTTCAGTCTTCCTTCTAAACCAGTAGCTTCTTCAATCTAAAACAAAGATTATTTTTTTGACTTTATGAATTTCCTAATAATCAGAGGACAAAGAAGTAAAAGACATAAATTAATTTTGTTAAAAATTAAAATATGGGGTGATTGTTCGTATGATTAGAAGAAACCATTTCTATTTGACACAAATGATTTGATTTTAAATTAATATAATTATTTAGTATCTGATTTCTAATTTAGAAAAACTCCACAAAACCACACAAAAAGTATTTCATTTCCAGCACTTATATGTTGCTACGCAATTGAATCAGAATCATTAATGACGCAAAAATCATGACACAGATTTCTTTAAACGACTTGAAAAAGAAATTATGAAGTACGATTCGATATTCATCCCATAGCCCATCGGTCCTATACTTGCAAAATTCGAGTTCTCCTTCCAATGATGATTGCACATGCTGCACATAATTGTACAGCATAGGTACGGCAACAATTGCTGTCAATGTCGCAACAGTTGAAATTGCGATCCCAAAGAATGCTGAACGCCGTAGTCCATCTGCTTCTACTTTTTTCAACTCTTCATATTCGATTCCCATTCTGTGCTGAAAATATTTGTAATTCTAATATTTAAGAAATATTTTGCAATAACACTCATCAACGAATTTGAATTTTCAATGAAATAAAACTTGACTGTTTTAAGTGTTTTCTTCAATAAAATGAAATTTTGAATTCGGCATTAGCTTAGCAATTATCGATGGTGTAATGTATAAATGATTTGTTTAGCACGGAATCAAAAATATTTGAGTAAAGAAACTTTAGTTTTTGCTTCTTTTCCATCTTTCATCTAAGTTTCATTTCTACTTTCTGCCAAGCAAAAAGTGCATGCTATTAATGTTTTAATTAGAAAGCTAATATAAGCAAAATACAAATTTTAACTTGACTTTAAGTGTAATAACTTGAAAAGTTAAATATTGGTACCAATTCAAAAAAAAAAAACTTCTTACATAGCAATGGCAATATACACTGTATATTTTCATTTACTCAATAAATTTTCTTGCAAAATTAATTTTGAGAATATATTTCAAAAAAAAGTTACAAACCTGGGAATAACAAAACTATTATTAATTTCTGAATCTATTATTAACTGTCATTTATGGTTGCTACGAGCACTCAGAAATTACCGGAAAAAATAAAAAGGAAGGAGAGGCGAATAGAATGAAGTTAACTTCGAGTTAAGTTGTTTGGTAAAAGAGTTTTAATGAACTAACTTTCCAAAACAAATGAAAAAAATAGTAGATTCATTGGGTAGCAGTAAACAACATCATCAGTTGGTATTAATGCACAAAAAACTACCGAAAACAAGTTTCAATAGACCTCTTCTTAATTTCTCCACCTCATAAGAAAAAAATCCATCAGAGCATTCCCGTTATGAAATCGCTCATGTTTGTCTTGTCTGTCCATCTGTTTCCATCAAGAAACATTGGTATGACAAACAATATTTGGAGCAGATGGACTACGGTCAATATTACAGTTACAAGATCGTAAGACGTTTCATAAGAGATATCATTAATTTACTTCTGCTAAAGATTCCATCTTTTTTGCCAGATTTAAAAATTGTTCAATAAAAAGTGCTATTTACAGCTGAGGTACAATCTAACGCCAGATAATTATGTAAGTTGAATCACTATGTTTCATTCGTCGATGTAAACTACTTTGTTAAGTTCTCATCAACAGCATGGTGCATTATTCCACGTAGGGTTCCTAATTTAATAACGACCTAAATTTATGGCATACCTTAATAACAAAATTATTTCTTACGAATGTTGGGCTAGGTAAATTATTCTGATCTACTTCAATTTATAATAAAAATTTAAAATACAGACTTTTGCTATTGGATATTTTACAATCAATTTGTTTACTAAAACTTTGTCATGCTTATCTTCCAGTGCTTGCTTAGCTTATACATGAACCCCTTGCGGAAGTAGAAATAATTAGAAAAAAGGTTAAGTTATAAAACAATTGCACGTAAAAATCTCTCTGTTTTCGAAGCTAAAAAATTATTTTTATTTTTATTTGCAACAGAAATCTCTGTTTAGTGCATTCAGTTCGAATCATTCAGAGATTCAATTCATTAAGGCATCCTGCAGAACATAATGAGGATGAGATAGTACTTTTATGTCTTTGCTGATTAAAAAAGAAAAGCGGAACAATCACAAATATTTAGTAAAGAGAGAAATATTTAGTTTTACTGAAAGAAGTACATCTTGTAAAATGGTTAAATTAATTTGCTTCTTTTATGATTAAAAACAATTAAGTTTCAATTGTGGCAAATTGTTTAAATGCATAGGAAATTGGCGCCCATTTATGCATTTAAGGAAGTCAAATTGTAATTAATAATAATATTCAGGCAATTGGTGGTGGAAATGAATTAACTTCTGACAGTTCACGAATTCTGAGTTCGGAAAGTGGGAAGAAATAAGTAAATTAACTCAATGTAATGAAAAACTTTGAAATCCAAAACTTCCGGGACGAATAAAAAAAAATCTCTCCTGTCCTAAAAACATCTAACGAGAAGTAGAATGGTGCGGGAAATCAAGAATTGGACCACAAGGTTCAATAAAATCTGTTGATTTGAAAACAAACTTTAATAGAACTGCTAATGTATTGGTTTATCAAACATTAATAAGAACAACCCTTTCCCCCCTGTTTTCTATTTATCACGCCGCCGTCTTCGGGGGCACTGGTTGAGAATCACTATTATAAAGATCACGACATACATTAAGCTTATGCTAATTGTAAACTAAACGATAAGTAAATGGAAAAGTTAAAATCAAAGATTACTTATCAGCAAGATTAATCTATACAGCAAGATAGAATAATAAGAAGACTGCTCTGATATAAGACAAATAAGATCACGGAGGCAAACAGGTAATGAGGATTTGCAAAACAATAATAAATGTAGTTCTAGTAATAACCATATCCTTAGTCCTAGCTAAAGATAAAGTGATAGCTAACAATGTTGCTACTTCTGATAGTGTTGCTATCACAAATGATATATCAGCGATGCTTTTATATACTTCACTGCACCAATTCATGTTTTTCTCTTCCTTTTTTACAATTGGTTAGATCGAAATGCTTAAAAGACCTTTTCAAAGTGCAAAGCTCTTGCCATATTCACTTTTCTGGGCGTCCCATCCATTCATTGCAAATTCAAAAACTGACAAGGGCGTGGTAAGGGCGTACCTAAGTTACATACTTCCAAAAGGTGTATTCAAAATGGGCATAGGACAGGTAATTCGATATGGAACGAATATATTCCTTAGTATCTAGACTTACCTTCCCTCTCCATGTGCAGAAAAACAGGTTCTGAATCAATTTCTATTTCTCCTACTACACTCCAAATGATTCGTTTTTTCTTTCTTTTTTCTTTCCGGAGAGAAGGCAGTTAAGAGACATGCCGACTGCAATTTTGTGGTTCACATTTAAAAAAAATAAATAAATTTTAGTATGGAAAAGAAACGAAACGATGAAAGGAAAGATAAGCAAGTCTAATCTTAAAAAGAAACGACATTTGGTGTTGCACAATGCATTACAATTAATAAATGATGACAACAGTAATTTTAAGCCAAGGGAAATTTGTAAGGAGAATTGATTATTACATAATCTTTTTTCCTTTCTCTCTTCTTGCAACAGTTTTCACTTCTGCAACCTTATTGCAATAATTTCGAAGTTCTCTGTTGCAATCAGGATGCGACAACTTTTGATGCAATTTCAGCTTGAACAGCAGCATTTTTCCTTCGTTTCCTTTTCCTTACCTCTACTCTACTGTCGTTAATCAATTCACTTACTCCTTTCACTATTAATCGCACATATCACAGCGCAAAGCACTGTTGCGCTTTCTATCTCAAAAATATCGTAACACTCTACCTGAACAACTACAGGCTGAGAAAAGAACTCAAACTAGAATGAAATAATGCCTGCTCTCAAACTCAAGATAACCAATCTAATGACGATGCATGCACAAACTTTACGATGATTGAATGTTAGCAAAAATGAGTTTACTATTCTGCAGTTCAATTTTTGATATCATTCCCATTAGAGTCAATGTGGATTTTATCAGTACTGAAAACTGTATAAATTGCTGACTAATTTACTTGAATTTACTTAATTATATACTAAAATCTACAATGTGTTGAAGTATTCATTCAGGATTTGTTTCAAGTAATTTTTGTTTTCCATTGTATTTTTATTTCATTTCGTTTTTCAATTCAGCAAATTTTTACCACTAATCCATACAACTATTTTCTTTTTGTGTGCCGACATTCGCCAGTAATCTTTTCCCGTTAATTCAATGATTTGGGTGACAATTGATTCCCATTTTCTCAACTTATACCTTTATCATTAATTGTTTTCATTTCTTGAACCCAATAACTTAACAATTATTTTTGGGAACGAACTGAAAGAAAACTATTTTAATATGTACAAATTCATTTTTGTAATTTTTTTTTGCAATTTGGGTAACAATTTCCTGTTTATTTTTCTTACTCATTCTCCTCAACTCTGAAATGAAAACATTTCATTAGGGATATTATTTGGATGAAGTATGAAGGAAGAGCAATAAAGAAATAATCGATTTACTAAGTATTTTAAGTTTCAGTTGAGTTTCTTTTTAACTATTACGTAAATGACATTATTATTTTTTTATTATTTTAGGTCCTGTCAAAACATATAGGAAGAAAGAGGTTGTTTCACTTATCAGTCTTTTCAACTTAACTTGAACACTTATATTTTACTGTTGAAACAAGAGCAATAAGTTTGAAATAGTTAATTTTTTTCAACCTTTCATTTGATACCTTATCAGGAAATACCTTTTTTCAAAAAGATAAGTGTGTCTTGTCTTTGTCCCTATTGCGGTTTTCCACTTTTCTTCACCACTTCCTTAAGCACCTAACGATTACTTTTTAAATAAAAATCTGTTTGTTACTTAATACTGTCGAAAAACTTTTAACATAATTCATTGCTCGGATTATTAGCTTAATAAAGTAATCCCAATCATACCATCAACATTAAGTGGTAAATTTTAACTTGAAGAATTGAAAACTTCAAATTTTACCGACGGAAACTTTTGGAAGAACCCAGCATGTGAAGGACTTTAACTTTGTTCAAAGTAATATAACTCTTCTATTTTCCTCACAAGATCCGATTTCAAATCTTAAAATTAAAATGAAGTTTTTTCCAACTTACTTTTCCTCACTGTGAATTACTAGCAGACTTTTCTCCCTCGTTTCATTGTTCGGCATATAGTCAACCCGTTGAGTCTTAATATCAAAGAACCATAACTGATGTTTGCTTTCTCGGAGCAATCAAGAAACGACCTTTCTGTGATCTGCTTTTGAATCTTGTTACATATTTTTATTTCAGATTTTAACACATATCTTCCTTCCTTTTTTCTCACTCTTCGGTTATCAAACGATTCTGTTGAAAGATTATGCATCAAATTTAGAAGTGATAGCAATAAATAAAAGTAACGGAAGGGTGAATAAAATTATAATGTTAGAAATAAAACAATATAAATAACAATAAGATAATTTACTTTGCTAAAAAATATAT